AAGGGCCTCTGACTTGGCCTCCCTCTGTTGCAACTTGGAGAGCTCCTTGGCCAGGATCTTCTCAGGGGGGTTGCCAAGGGCGGCGCCGACTTGCCAGCGCGACCTCAGTGCATTGAGAAAAAAGTTATGTATTCAGAAACTTATGAGAAACTGCTCACTCGAATAGGCTTTTTTTTTTTAGAGCGAGACGCCACCAGTGTCCCAAGTGGTTCTCCCCCTCTTCGACCTTGCTGGTGTGCGTCTCCGCGTAGCCGTGCACCCAGTTCAGACCCAGGTTGTTCTCGCGGTAGGTTGCTATGAGCTTTTTCTTTTCTTCTGGGTCTTTAAGCAAGGAAAGGCACTTAGCCGCGGCGCCCTCGGGACCCTCCTTCTTAGTCTGGTAGGCGAGCTTGTTGTGCAAGCTTTTGTAGGTCTCAGGGTCGATGCTGGCTTCCTTCTCGTTTTTTTTGCCCTTACCCTTCGCTTTTGCTTTAGGCTTAGCTGCTGGCTTTGCTTTTGGCGTAGTGGGCGCGGCGGAAGCGGCTCGTTTTCCCATGGCTGCGCTAGCTAGGTGGCCGAGGCACGCGAAAGCGGCTATCCCTACCCTATGTTGGATTGGAGCACGGGCCAAAGTAAATGAATCAGGCCACTATTCAATGGTTTTCCGTGTTATTCCAAAATGAAAAGTTCGAGATCCCTAGGGCACCTTGGTTGACACACTGAGGTGGTGAAAGAGCAGTAGGTCAAACTGATGCAACCTAATAAACTCATCATCGCTATCAATATCAATATTTTTGCCGCGCGGATGTCTCCGCTGCGGCATCTGCATGCTTCGACTGCGTGCATTTGCAAGCACATGAATCACTTGCAAACAAAGTATATATGACAACTGCCTGATCTAACATAGTAAGATAAATTCTTGAAACCAGATATTGGAGTGCTATCTGATGGATGTGGATGTAAGTCGTACTGCGTGTGTTTGTGATTGAAATGAATCTTGATCATGTGTCGTGCATCCATGCTTATGTCTCTTGCGTTCTGACATGTGTGTGCTGTAAAAAATACAACATGTTCACACATGCTGTAGTGTCTCATTCACAAAATTCATCCTGGAGACTACATAGTCTTTATGTTTTTTTTTTACGTGCCTCAAGCTTGAGTATTTCATTCAGTCTAATATCAAGCTTGCTTGTGTTTCATTGTTCGAAAACGTGCATCTGTTTGCAGCATGTGGATTCACTCGAATGGATTTCCCACATTCACACAATCAACAGTTTATTTTGTTGACGGTGTATTTGATGCCTGTTTTCATATCTTCACAATTTTGTTTAGATTTTTTGCATTGTTCATTGATATGCCCAGATCCTTCAGGATCAGTTTTGTTTAAAGTATTAGCTGCATAACCATATTTTGAAAAAATGTAAAAATTGATAGGGTTGAAGATTTCATACTAGAAACATGTGTACTTGATTTGTTAGATTCAGATCTTTGTTTCAGATTTATACAGGCTCTGAATTTGCAGATTTCATATCAGATTCAGATTTTTCAGATTTTTCAGAATCTGAAATTTTCAGATTTTTTTTCAGATTCAGATTTTTCAGATTTTTTCAGATTTTTTCAGATTCAGACAAAATCTGAAAAAATCTGAATCTGAAAATTTAAGTAAAGAAAGTGATGAAGATTCAGATTTTCAGAATCTGAAAAAATCTGAAAAATCTGAATCTGAAAATTATCTGAAAAATTCAGATTCTGAAAAAAATCTGAAAAATCTGAATCTGAAAATAATCTGAAAAATTCAGATTCTTAAAAAACCTGAAAGAAACCTGAATCTGATGTCAAATCTGTAAAATTCCGAGCCTGGAAAAATCTGAAAAATGATTTGCATCTGATATCAAATTCAGATTCAACAAAATTGAAAAATATGATAAACTAGACAGCAAAGATGGTTTGGGAAAATTTTCAGGCCATCTGAATCTAAAGAAACGGACAGCAATGTTTAAACTTCAAACCCATAGGATGTGACAAAAAGAAAGGACATACTTGAACACATGTAGAATTCACTGAATACATAACAGCTACATAACAGGCAATCTAAATAACCTAATGCTACTCATCGGTCTGAAAAGCTCCAAAGATGATGATACTGAAACATTCATGAGTTGTGTCACCACACAGACACATATTTGATCCGCAAGTCTCATCTGATCTAGAAGGTCTCATGTTTGAAAAAACAGTGAATATAGCCAGTCACAAATCAAAAAAAACCGCTAATTGGCAATAAGTCACAGCAAACCTAAAAACTAGCATCCACATCCACAGTAATAAGGAACTGATATACAAATGATTGACTGGAACCAACCTTGCAGGATGCATCCATATGTTCATGAACAATGCTCCATACAAGACAACCAAAACATAAATCCTTCATATTTCTCCTTACAGTCATTTTCTTATATTTGGGTCAGCCTTTGTTGTCCGTTCCCATCGCAGGACCTGGACATCGACTTTGGATAGGAGAAAAAAGGCGCTGGCAAGCTAATTGCCTTAGCTCACTGAGTGTACATGTTTGTTTATTTCGCTTTCGGTCCATGGTCGTATCAAACAAGTGTTCTTTATAGGGCGATTCATGGCAGGTTTGAGTATGTGTTGGGTGAGACCCGTTTCCAACCAATGCTTGTGCAACCAAAAACTTAAACTTACGGAAAAAAAAAAACAAATCCCACTCCGCGCGGCCGAAGCCGCAGCGGATAAATGCAAACCAAATGAAGGAATTAGAAAAGCCAAGCTGACACAGACTTACAAGCTATCTCCTTAAGATGTTCACCCGCAAGTTTGGACGCCTCCCTTTTTACGAGGAACGCAGCGTGTAGCTCCCCGTCCTTCACCGCCGCAGCGTGTTCGCGCCGCATGTGGACGCACATGTTGTGGGCAGCCTGCGGATCCAGCTCGGTCATGCCTGCGCGGACACGTATTGGGGACTGGGGACATGTTGTGTGCATGGCTTGCAAGAAAAAAAAGCCTGAAGAACTTTGTAAGCACCCAGATAACTTTGACAAGCAAGAGCCTGGCACGTACATGAGCAGCGCGGTCATGGTTCCCATAGTTTTCTGCGAGGGCAGTCGCAAGCCCAGCCGCAGAGACAGCTGCAGCACGTAGTTCACCTTGTGCGCGGGCGGGACGTGCGCAGCCAGCCGGTCCGGGGCCGCGTAGTTGGCCAAGGCCGTGTAGTCCTGGTACACCTGCTGCTGCATGACTGCAGCGAGCTTGAGCTGGAGCGTCCGCGCTGTCATGCATGTGTCACGCATGTCTTGCGCGGGTGCCGCGCGGGCTCACGCCCGCGGCGGCATGCGCAGAGGCGAGACAACAGCGACTCGGCTTCCCTCTTGCATGCTGCGGACTATGCTCGAAAAAAAGCTAAGTCTGCTAAGAGTATTTGCCCCGAAAACAGATCCCAAAAGCTAACCCCGCTAAACCTTATAAGGGTTGCGACCATGTTTGCTAAGTGTTTAGCTTGGGGTTTACAACAGGGGTTATAAAGTGTGTGATATCTCCTATAATCCCTAGATAGATTCTGGTAAACCTTAGAAGCGGCTTATAAACCTTATATAGGTTTAACCAATTTATCTCGTTTGCGCTGGAGTTTGGCAGACTTATAACCCAACTTAGCCGAGATACTAAACGTTTATAACCGGGTTAACATTAGCCAGCCGGCTAAGTAAGGCACACGTTGACTGTTGACTCAGCATTGGTTTTGGCTTCGTGCCAGATGTCAGCGCTTGCCGACTTACCCTGTCTGCAGCCGCTGAAAAGGGAATGCCGCCTTGCCGGTGTTGGGCCTCAATTTCCTTAATATTTTTCGCCAATGGTCTGTGGCCAACCCAGCAGAACGGCACCCCTCTTGAAAGATTTACATCCCTACAACCACCCCTATTGGGGAATTACATCCCTTGGCCTTTGTAACGCGAGAATACAGCACCAAATCTAAAAACCGCTCCAAGACACAAGCACCAGAACGGTACCCCTCTTGGGGGATATACATCCCTACAACCACTCCTATTGGGGGATTTACATCGCTTGGCCTTTTAAACGCGACAATACAGCACCAAATCTCAAAACCGCTCCAAGACACAAGCACCAGAACGGCACCTGTCTTGGGGGGATGTACATCCCTACAACCGCACTTATTGGGGGATTTACACCGCTTGGCCTTTTTAACAGCACCAAATCTAATACAACAACAAAAACCGCTCCAAATCGACGAGACACAAGCACCAGAACGGTACCCCTCTTGGGGGGAATTTACATCCCTACAACCCCTATTGGGGGATTTAATCCCTTGGCCTTTTTAACGCGTGAATACGGCACCAAATCTATTACAACAACAAAAGCCGCTCCAAATCGACAAGACACAAGCACCAGAACGGTACCCCTTTTGGGGGGATTTACATCCCTGCAACCACACCTATTGGGGGATTTCCATCCCTTGGCCTTTTTAACGCAAGAATACGGCACCCAATAACAAAAACCGCTCCAAAACGACGAGACACAAGCACCAGAACGGTACCCCTCTTGGGGGGATGTACATCCCTACAACCACCCCCATTGGGGGATTTACATCCCTTGGCCTTTTTAACGCGAGAATACAGCACCAAATCTAAAATCCACCCCAAAACGACGAGACACAAGCACCAGAACGGTACCCCTCTTGGGGGGAATTTACATCCCTACAACCACCCCCATTGGGGGATTTACATCCCTTGGCCTTTTTAACGCGAGAATACAGCACCAAATCCAAAATCCACCCCAAAACAACGAGACACAAGCACCAGAACGGTACCCCTTCTTGGCGGATTTACATCCCTACAACCACCCCCATTGGGGAATTTACATCCCTTGGCCTTTTCAACGCGAGAATACAGCACCAAATCTAAAAACCGTCCCAAAACGACGAGCCACAAGCACCAGAACGGTCCCCTTCTTGGCGGATTTACATCCCTTGGCTTTTTTTTTCTCCAAGACCGAGGCCTTTTGCCGCTACTTCTGGATGCAGTTCGTGGAGAAGCTCCTGGCCGTAGCCCTTCTGGCGGCCACCCGGACCATTCGGAGACCAAAATGATGGCGGTTTCGTTTTGCTACGTGCCCAGGTGGCCCCTAACAAAGGGGCGGTGGCTGTGGCTCAAATGGCTATGGCTATGGCTCCAAAATCCTGAGATCCCCAAAAAAGCTGCTTTGGGGCTGGAGAATGGCTATGGCTCCAAAATGGGCTGCAAAAAACACGATTTTGGGGCTGGACCCCAATTAATCTAATTTGGAAATGAGGATTTGGGGGGGGCATAGCATCCTATTAAAAATGGAACACTGGTAAATGGAAACAAGACCGACACCTGCGTAACCCAAAGACTCTTTAAATTTGAGCAACTCCCAAGTCTTTGCGCTCCCCCACGTTCTTGCTGGTTCCCTCGGAAACCAGAAGGCACGGCATAAATCAAACCGATCATTGCGGAGCTTTGAATTTGAGCACTTACCCGGTGGTTTGAGCCGGTTCAGTTTCCAAGCTGTGCACTCTTCCTTGCCAGATTTCTTCTTTTCGTTTCGTGGGCCAAAACGTTCAAGCTAGGTGAGTTCAACATGTTCCCGGTTCCGCCAGTTAGCTGGGTTTGTCAACCAGATTCCTTTGGGTTGCATTTGAACCAAAATGGAATCAGCGATCGCCCGAGCCCCGTGAACTCTCAATTTTGGAAGAAAGAGAAGCCGGTGAGTTTCATGTCTCGGGCTCAAGTCATGAGGATGCAACGCATTCTCATTTGGACTCGTGAACTGGGAGTGATCAAGCCCCATGACATTTTAGTCTGGCAGTTGCGATGTTTTCCTCGGATCAACACAAGAGAGAGGTAAGCCTTGGCTTTTCTCTTTGTACATTGGCAAAGAAAAACGGGCGACTCGCCTGTTTTTTGCGGGGGGCCACGGTTTCCTCTCCAGGCCACGGGGGGGTATTTTCGCCGTGCGTCTTCGTCCGGCAACCCCCCCCCCCCCGGACCGGGGGGCAGCCACCTGAGGTGGTTTCCACGGATAACGCCCTGCACCTGGTGCTGGCCATCGTTCTGGTCATGGCGGCCACCATTGCCATGGTTCGGCCCTACCTGCAGCCGCAGGCGGGCTTTTTAGAACAGGGGTGACATGTGTTGAGGCAAAAGAAGTCTGACCCCACAACCTACAACCCCTACCACCAGGAAAAAGGGTCTCGTAAATTTGTGAAGAAGATCCAAGAGCACCATGCGAAGGTTTGCTGCGCACTCTGTCTTGTGTGTGTGCGTCTGTCATTTTGGTTCCCTGATGACGGTAATGCTAAGTTCGGATTAATCTGGAGCGCCATACTAATCAGGGCTGGTTCTTTCCGTTGCAGGGGTTTCCTTGGATTCAGACTCCACACTCTCATGTTGACTTGACGCCACTTGGCAGATGAACGATTTGCAGTGCCTCTCCATGATTTGCTGCTTGGCTCTATTCGACTGCAACGCTGCACCAGCACCTGCTGCCAGACCGGGCCCGCTTGAGCCAGCTCTGCAGAATGTATGAAGTCGCATGCATATTGCGAGTAAACCAAGGCATTGGACAACACATCGCATCCATGTCAAACTTGAGTAAATCATTCCTGCTCCGTCACTTGTTGGGGCATCCACCGTAGTTCCCCTTTGGGCGGTCTTCAGCCCGGACTTGTTTGGCCGATTGACGGTGTGTGTGTGTGTTCAAGGATCGCTTGATATTTAAGGGGAATATAATACGTGTATATATGTATATATGTAGTGTGTTATAGCGTTATTCATGGTACAAAGGGAGCCCATAAGGACACCAACATACACCAACCATTTTTTGGTGTCCCTAATTTTGAAACCCCACATACGGAATCCTTTGAGATGGCTGCCCTGTAAATCTGAGGGGCGATATTCTCATCAATTGGGGAAATTCCGCTTTGCAAGTCGTGGAGCTTTGTTTGATAAGATACTGTGATATACTTTAAGCTTTACCAAGTGTAGCCTGTAGCCCGCTTTTTGTGATTCCATGTTTTCCAACTTCACAAAATATAGCCCGGGTTTTTAGTTCTATTTCCAGGTGTACGAAACATGGACCATATGTTTTGTGTCAGACGGTTCCCAGGACGCTAGGACGCACGGGCGCCGGAGGTCAGCAAAGCTGAGGTCTTGCCGGGGCGGCCATTGGCTTCTCCGCTGGGACTTCCGGGGATGCGCATTGGCTCTGGCTGAGCCGCGTGTCCTTTCTGCTGCCCTTTCTGCTGGCCGCTACGCAGGCGCTTCGAAACGTTCAAGCTGAGTGGTTGGCCATTTGGCCCCGGAAAATGGGAGAAACCCGCAAAGGGGTTTGGAGGCTTTTCGGATGCGTTCCTATCTCGCGGGCGCGGCGGTCGGAGCTCCCGCTTCGGAGAAGGTGAACAAGAAGCGAAGCCCTCAATGTAAGGAGCCTCGAACGGGAGACTTCAAGAGGTGCATGAATGCTGACCTCGTATTAATCAAACCAACCTGTGTATTAATAGGGGGGTGTCCCTGGTTTTAGTCGGGAATCATCACTTTTGGAGGGGAACACCCCTGGTCGACCAATATGGGATCAACAGTAAGGGCCACGCAAATCTTAATGTAGAATAACAGGTCAATGAGGGATTGGCATTGCTTCGGAAGTGACCAGTAGCAGTCCTTCTACTACATCGTCAACTTGTGATCCGTTTTTCTTTTGCCTTCTTCAATATGCCTTGCTGCATCAAAAACAAGCGCAGCCTTGCCATCACAACAAGTGCAGGCTATACATGATTTCAAGGATCCTACATACATGTATGGACGCACATGCAGTATAGATATATATATATATATAATTTTCAATGGTACCCGCCTTGGGATCTACCGATTCCGGCCCTGCATCCACTTTCTGTTTAGGGACGAGGGCAACAGGGGACAATAAGAACCCACCTCGGTGGAGAAAAGAACATGAGTCGACACCCTGCAGTTAGGGGCCACAATGACGCATAGATTTAGGCCAAAGCAGTGCGAAGTTCTACACCTTGCAGAGGCATGCGCATGTAAGTATACATATATACATACACATCCAATACTGCTTACATCCTGTGCTTGCATAAACACATGCGCAATTTGTTTTACATGTGTATAGTATACACATGCAATGCTTTTACATATATACAAATAAATACAGGCTATCCCGCCCAGGGACCTATTTTCCTCTTTTTCCTCTTCAGTTTGTGATCTAGAACTAGAACCAGGCATCTTTCAACCAGGACTTGGACCAAGGATCTCCCAACTAGGACCCAGCTAAGACAAGAAGCAAGGATTTCTCAACTAGAACTAGGGCTAGAACGAAACTAGGACTCGAAGATCTCACTCTAATTCTTATATTGATTTAATTTCAAGTATAGTTTTCTTTGTAGTGTCCTTTGCATTGGCTATTTTCTTCAGGAGACTAGGATGAAACTAGGGCAGGAACCAAGGATTTCTCAACTAGGACTACGACCACACTTGGGCAGCGTTTTTTTCTTGGAATCAAGGATTTGTACAAAAAAGGAACTGCATCATGTCCGCGTAGGCAATTTAGCTGGGGGGCGTAGGCGCGCGGAGGCATCGCGTAGGCATTTCGCGCACATCCTTGTATTTGTTCTTGCGTAGGCGCGCGCGTAGGCACTTGATGGAGTTGTTATGTATTGTCTGAAGTTTTATGTTTTACAATGCATATGGATGGGCATGAGTTTGGCTGAGTTGTTGCAGACACACTGATGAAAGGGTTCTTGAACCAACATGGCTAAGAATTGTCAAAGCGGTTAGCGGACATTGTCCACTGTTCAAATGAGCAGCGTTGTTTAATCAAATGAAAGAGTTTATACAAAAAGGGAACTGCATGTACTTTGCGAAGGCAATCCTGGTTGGGGGCGTAGGCTCGCGTAGGCTTCAGCGCGTAGGCTGTTGTGTCACCCCTCGCGTAGGCTTTTCGCGTAGGCGTTTGTTGAACAAATCATGACTGTTTGCCACGTATGAAGGAATTTGTTTCTTTTGCCTTCCTTCTGTTTGTTCTGCAGTCTTCGCGTAGGCTCCGCGTAGGCCCCGCGTAGGCACTCGCGTAGGCACTCGCGTAGGCTTTCAAGGCATTGTGGGTGCGTAGACCTTTTCTAGCAGCCAGATCCTTGGACAGATGTTGAATTCTCACTTGTACTGCATTTCTGATCTTAGAGCCGGAGCTGCCAAAACTGCACTTGCATTGAAAAGTTGCGATTTTCCAGCTGGAGCTGCCACGGTGCACTTCGACACTTAAACTCAACGTTTGCCCGCGTAGGTAGGCACCTGGAAGCTGACTTGTGATCGCGTAGGCACCCTCGCAGGCCGCGTAGGCTTGCGTAGGCCTTCGCGTAGGCGCGCAAGTGGTGTATAGGCCCCAAACCACCCAAACAAAACACTGCTCAAATGCTGATTCAGAGCCACGACAAAGGGGATCCCTGCAAAATCAACATGTTATCACGCTTTGGCGGCGCAATCATCTTCCACATCATCTGCTTCTTCTACATCATCTGCATCTGTGTCAGACAACGACTGGCTTGGCATTGCAAAGCTCGAGCTGGAAGAAAGCGGCGCGATTTTCTTGCGTAGGCGTCCGCGTAGGCGCGACCAGAAACAAACATGCGCGCGTAGGCACCCCTTGCAGTCGCGGAGGCGTTGCGTAGGCGCCCGCGTAGGCATGTGTGCAGTGTATAGGCCCCGAGCACCAACAAAAAAACACTGCCCACTTGGGTCAAACTCTTATAGTGCTTGAGTTTGACATTCTTTAGCAATTTCGAAGAATTTCAGTAGACTAGGACTAGAACAAGTAATTTATCAACTAGGACTAGGACCAAAACTAGGATTAGAGCCAAGGATCTCGCACTACAGCATGTGCGTTCTGCTTTGTCCCGGATTCAAGATTCGAGATTCCAGGGAATACTGTTCTAAGCATTTTGAATCCAGGCCCGCATGAAATGTCACTTGAGGGCTGGTTTTATTCGGTTTGATTCGGCTTCATTCAGGGGGTGGGGGGTGGGCTGGTTTCAATCAGCGAATGCATATGAATGATTATTGCGTTTCATTCGGGTTCATTTGGGGATTTTTAGATTGTGATTGGAGTTGTGCCTGTGTTGGATGCTACCCCAAATTCCCAAAAAGGGGTACAAAGCACTGAACATCTGATTTAAATTCCTCTAACAAGGCCATTGGGTCCCTCCGGGGGGGGGGGGGGGAGGAACCATGTATATATATATATACACACACGCACACACCTCACATTTCACATGCACTGTATCATGCGTTATGTATCGCTCACATGTATATACATGTTTACATACACACAAAAGTCTAGACATGTATTTGTATATATACAATATTTGTACATACCAGTATATGTATACATATTACATATGTATATATATATTCATATACATAGAGGTATACACATATCTATACCTATACCTATATATGGTCCCGTGTTCCGTGTTGCCCGAGACCCTGAGCCCCCCGGATCACCCCGGCACCCCCACCCCCCAGGACAAGCCAACCCGCAACCAACCATAAACCAACCCTAAACTAACCCTAAACCAACCCTAAATACACCCTAAATGCACCCTAAGCCAATTCTAAACCAACCCTAAACCAACCCTAAACCACAACCACAACCACAGGGCTGGGGGGGGGGGGGGGTACTTGTATGACCCATGACCATTGGGGGGGGGGGGGGGGTGGCTGGCAACGCTGTACCATATATTCATGCCCTCCCCCCCCTCTCAGGTGAATCTTGCTCGCAGGTGCTGCAGCCGGACAGCTGCGAGGCACTCGCCGCGCGCCTGTACCAGGATCGAACGGATCCACGTCGACGTGTTTTGCTGATTCGAGGGGAACCGCTTTTGGTCAGATTGCCTCTACTTCCAGGGACGACCATTTTAGTGGCAAATAGAAAGTTCGGACGATGTTTTTGCCCATCCACTCAGGAAGTGAGTAATTAATTTGAAAATTTGAAACTCTGATGCTTGTAGGGGTAAATGGGAAACCACCCCTTAGCCAAACCACCAATCCAAACCAGCCGTTTGGTCAGCTTCAGGGTTGTGTGATCACTCGAGGTTTATCCAACCATTTCTGTGATGCAATCCTCTCTTTGTATGGCGGGCTCCTTTTTTGCTGTATCATTGGTGGGCATTTTTCCACAGCCCTGGTCAGCTTCCCTCTACTCAGTGGCTTGCTTTGGTGGTTTGGTTAAGGGGTGGGTGCCCATCTACAAGGAAAAGGGGTTCAAATCCAAATGCAAGCCACCAATCCAAACCACAAACAAATTCATGCTTGATTTGGGGTTGGTTTATACAAGGAAACCAACAGGAATCACCATCGTTTTGGGACACACAGCCATGTAGTTCCAACACGTCTTCTTTAGAGAGCAAGGGGAGCTATAGGAGGGATATGGCCTTGGTGTTTGGCTCCTGAAGGGCACACCAATAGTCACTACTCACTACTGTGGATGGACGAAATCCTGCACCACCTCAGAGACCCTGGTATAAATTGATTTCCCTGTAAATACCAACAAACAGTGGTTTCCCATGGTTTCCAAGTGGTGCGAAATGGATTTCGTCCGTCCACAGTATTAGTTTGCAATCGTTTCCCTTGCTATGGCTTTGAATCCGCACATATAGCGACAAGGAAACTGACCTGAGGTTTGGGCAACATATCCCGAGGGGAATGAACTTGAGGACCTACCAGTTTCTTCACGTTTTTTTTTTTTTTTTTTTTTTTCTGCGCATGTCTTGTCACATGGACCTCCAGATATCTATGTGGAGGAAAGTCTATCTCCAATGAAGTTTTTAGTTGCGACCTGTGAGGGTATCATCCTTAGCTTTTCCAGGAGCGGTCCCGCTGAGAAGACTCTAGAATCCCTGGGCCTGGTGCTTATTGCGGGTCTGACAGAGCTTTATGCTTTCAGGCGAGGAGGACGGAAACTGGGGCTTTTTCAGAATAGTGGTCCCCTTTTAGATACCAACCAAAACGGGCCACCTTTTGAGAAATAGTCAAGGGTGGTTTTTTTGAATTGGCAAGGAAGAAGGTAATGGAAGTCGCTGATCTATTGCAAATATTCGCTGAAAGAAAGCAAGGGAGTATGACAATCACGCAGGGATTCAGTGTGAGTATTTCTCAACATGGTGGACCCCCTTTCGCTTGGTACTCAACGGGAAGCCGAAAGGGAGGCAAACCACATGTTTCAAGGTCAGATCTCCAAAATGTTTGGCTTCCTTTTTGGTGCCCCTTGCAACCACCCAAGGTCAGTGCATCAGTCCATCAGTCGCCTCATTGGTATCGGATCAGGAGGCCCGCCAGAAGCTGCCAGAGCTAAAGGAGGAGAAGGAAGTGGAGCTGATGGTGGAGATGGTGAGCTTCCTTTGAGCCTCTTTGGGTGTTTCTGGTTTGTACTGTCCGTGTTTGGCGGTTTCAGAGGCTGACGAAGTCTGCCCACCTCATACCATGCCGCTGCCTGAAGGACAAAGAAGCGAGATTCCCGCCGCATGGGCCGACTGTGAAACCTTGGCAGTTCCCAGCCATACTAGTAGACTTGTAGCTTTGCTCTCTTGCGTTCCTGGACTTCAGTCAATCTGTGGGAAGACCATTGAAGTCGTAAAAGTTCCGACTTCTGGCAATTCACTCGGGAAGCGGTTTTGGAGCTTAGAGGAAATTGACACACCCCACTAAAGAGCTGACTTTCTGCAAGATCAACGAAGCATTCAGAAACGCGTACTTCCTTTGAAAAGAGCTTCGGACCGCAGGTTTGAGTCTACTTTGTTATTTACTAGGGATCCGTTTTGGGCCAATTCCAATTTTTGAGCCACACCCAAGTGACCTCCCGATGATTGTGGAAGATAGTGGTGGACGTCAAAAACCCCTGGGAGCCTCTTTGATAAACCAACCAAGGCGGCCAAGTGGCTGGAGCCACCTTACAAGTTGTGGCAATAGATTCTCATGTCCAAGAGGGTTCAAGGAAATGATTAATGGTTCACATCCCTTTTCACGTCCCCAGGGGTTAAGGACATCACGGGAAAGTCAAACCGTCTAGGCCACCGAAGCCACCCGGAGCTGAAAGGTAAACCGCTCACTTTGCGAAGCCCAGAAACGGTGAAACGAAGAATCCCAGTCACTCCCCAGATCAACATGGAGCCCAAAAAACCATTCGCGGAACCTGTGGGAACCTCCTTTTGGATGTAAATGTGTGGACGTAAATGTCCCTAGTAATCTTGAGAATCAACACATTGAGCTTTTTTCCCACTCAAAACGTCCCACCCCACCATACCGGGTTTCCGTCTAATCCTGCAAAAAGGACACCCCAAGCAACCCCCCTCCCCAAACAAACAACACCCCCCCCCCCCCGCCCCACATCCCTCAAACCCCAACCCCCACCCCCAAAAAAAGCAACAACAACCCCCAAACCCCCAAGTAGTCTTGACAACACAGGTTCCATAAATCCATGTTGATTTGTGAAGTCAATGTCCCAAGAGATCTTGAGAACCTCATTTGTCCTTTGTCTGGCAGGCTGGGCCGTGGAGGGCATCCAGATGCTGCCTGTGATTCCTGTCTGGTTGCCTGAGAAAGGAAACCAGCTTCCCAGCCCTGTTTTGTTGCACACAAACAAATATTTACTAGAGTTTCCTAGAATTTCCCCTGTAAATATCGGCCCAAAAAGACACTCATTTCAAATTGGCTCAACATGCGACGTTTGAAACTTAAAAGCATCGGCTACAGGGAAGTGCAGGGAACCCTAATGTTGGTCATTCCATGGTTGGTTGTGTCCTTTCAGGGCGGTTTGGTTCATTAATGGTTGCCACTGCGCTGATCTGAGCATCCAGTCGGTTTTTCCACTCTAAGAAACCAGCAGGAGTTTCTACAGGCATGTTGGTCAAACATCCATGGAAAACACAACTTTTAACTAACTTCCTGCACTTCTAGTATGATTGGGGTTGTTCAAAATAGGGGAACTTGTGTTTGTTTTGGGGGGGGGCTCATGTTTTGAGTTCCTGCACCGTTTGTGTTCCTCGACTTTGTGCGGGGTTTGGGTCCTGTCACGCCCTTGCAATTTGAGTGGACTTTAGTCGCACCCCAGTTCAGGAGGAGGATACCCCCGGGTTTCACCTTGAATCCTTTTTTCTTTTTTTTCGGGGGGCTCAGCGCCTTGTCGTCGGTTGGGGGTGTCCTTTTGCTTTCTCTTTGGCAGTATCCAAAAGGGGCATCACAGAATTGCTTTGCTTCGAGTGATCCCCACCCAAGACATTTGCCAATTCATTTGCTTAGACGTGTTACTTCTAAAGCCTGCCATGAAGTGACCAAACGAGTCCAACCCTGGCCAGCAATCAATCTCTACTGCGTGATGTGAAAGCGAAACAAACAAGAACAGTGGACAACAACGTGCTGTTGGATAGTCTGGTGATGCTTGGGTCTTGGACATTGCAGATGTGATAGTCTTTGATTCCGTCCCTTTTTTTACTGGGCGGTTTCTCTTTTTGAGTCACGCCGTCCGTCTTTGTCGGATTGATTGGTTCCCTGGTGGCCATTGGACCCGGATCCATAGGTTTAGCCGACTTGGGATCAACCCACTGAGAAAGTAGTCTGGAACAATGGCGCTTGGAGGTTCAAGCAATGCCTGTCATAAGACTAGTTGAGTGGTGTGAACATCCAAGCGTGCAAGGTACCATGTTCGAGGGAATCCGTGGTTATTGTTTCCTCATCTGATACGAATAAATATAATCCAAATCTTACACAGGGCGACTATGCTATCATACTTCGCGTTATTGTGTGTCTTCCGGTGTTGGGTCTTGATCTAGCAGATCTCATCTAGGGGCCCTTGTGAGCTTACAGCTGGGACTTCAGACCTGCGAGGTCCTGGAGGACTTTCTGAAGAAGGACTGGGTCGAGCAGCACTTCCTAAGGTACAAGGCTCGCGATTTTCGGGGCCCGGGCCTCGCTGAATCCGAGATGGTTTTTGTTTTTGGTGTTCGCTTGGGTGCAACCAATCTTGATTATGTTGAAAACCCGGTGTTTCTGTGGGCGTTACTTATGTTGCAACCAACCTTCGGTGTTGCCTTTTGGTTGGGTTTCATACCCCGCCACGTAACAAGACCTTCTGGCTCGTTACACACCCCTTGATACACAGCTCTTCGTTACGCACTCCTTCCGTACACACCTCACATCAACAAAGCCGCCTGGCTGGGTGCACACCCCTCGTTACGCACGATGCATACTCAGACTCTCAGTGACTTCCCATGGACTCTGGCAGAGCATGCTTTCGCTGGGCAAACGCAAAGAGCCAGAATCTGTTTCACCCCCAGCCCGGGCCAGCGACCCCCTTTTTGGCGTCGCTGGCTGGCAGTTGCAAGCTGGAGGCGCGCTTTAGTGGGGGGTTTTCAAGCTGTTGTGAAGCACTGGGTTGTGGGGCTACTATGATGCCAAGCCAATCCCCTTTGGAGACAGTCGTCACGGAGAACATAGAAAGGGTTTTTTCTCCACAACCTTGTCAGGACTCCTCAAAAGATACACTTTGCCCATTTGAAACATCGCTTTTTCCACCCAAATAAAGGGAAACCACCATTTACAAGGCAATGTTCAGGTGTTTAATGTAAGGATCCCTGCTTGTTTGCGCAGCGTTGGCAACTTGTTTTGCCTGGCTGCGCCTGGCTTTTGTTTGTTGCTTCTTTGCATCGCGCCTGGCTCCGGCAGCTTTGGAATGCGTTTGGACGTTTTGGCCTGGCAGGATCCGGCTCACCTGAATCCAAGTTGGAGCAACCCAATGAATGTTGCAAATATTCCCTCCACCAAAACAGCGACATAGCTTTGGCCTTGCGTCTATTCATCAGGCCCCTCGTTTTGTGGCTGTTTTTTAATACCAATTGTGAACAAAGTTACTGTGACTGCTATTCGTGGGCAGAACCACCACACTTTTCGGGCACAGTCACTCCCAGTGTTGGGCAGAGCCACGTGGTTTTGAAGCTGACAATTGTGTTGAAACACCAGCGTTCAAAATCAGGAGTCGTCACTTCTATTGGAGTAACGCGGGACTTGGGTCCCTGTCCCACTAGTTTCCTTTAAGCCAATTTAGAGCTAAACCCTCATTCACTTGAAATACTGTCCAATCAACTGGGCGATATATTTGGAGGTCGCTTTCCTGGCGAGGTGAACTGCGACTCGGACCCCCAGTGCAAGACCTTGGGCTGGTCTTGGCTGGTTTGCATGGAGCAGGCCGAGCTCCCTGGGCTGCAGAACGATCTAAAGGGTTGTTGAAGATAGTGTGTCACAACTTGCGGGTGCTCAAAATGGAATGGGGGAATGAACCTGATGATTCCCCAAAAAGGAAACCACCAGTTGGATGTTTTATAGCATCCCTCATTTCCTACTGAGCACTAGAAAGAACATTGACGGTCCCCGACGGTCCCCAACAATTGGCGGTTTCTTACGAAGGGTAACCCCCAAAGAAGCGAAAGAAGCACACATTCAGTTGGATTGCCACCAAAACGGGGAAGAACAAGTTTTGCGGATTCCCGGGTGGGTTTCGTTACCCTCACCCGTTTCGGTTGGTCCATAGGAGAACATGCTTTATGGGAAGGGAAACCCCAGCTTGCACCCTGAAAGCACTGAAAGCCCTTTAGGTCTGGGCTCACTGAAATTGAACGACTCGCCGCCTTTCGGGCTGGTTACTGGGTGCAGACGCGTTTGTCCTTAGGTTCGACCCGTAACCTGTTAAGGTTGTTGGCAAATGAAAGCTTGGCTTCCCATATGAGCCTCATATGGACAACATCTTCGCACCCGAAGGAAACCTAGCCCAAAGGTTCTCAGCCAATGAGGAAGTTGTCGTTTCCTTCGAGGAGATCCCAATATAGGCTCATTCCCAACTCATTTCTTGATTCAATTTGAGAACCAGCAAGCAACATGAGCATGCTTAAAACACGGAGCCGTGATAATGAGCAGTGCCGCGGTGGTTTGAGCTGGCATTCTCCATTCGTAAGTCTGCAAGTTGATGTTAGTCTTAATTCCTGAGTTCCTGGACTCTATACTTTCTGGGAAGACCATTTCAATAGGGGGGTGTTCCTTCGCGGAGGAGTTGCAACTACAAGGGACAACTCCCTGTTAAGCAACCCAGGGTTTTATTAATACAGGGTTCACATTGCGGTGCATAGTCTACCCAACCTGTATTTGTGCCGGATTTTTTTATTGCAAGTGAACCTGCCATACCCAACCAAACACACCTTACAGGGTTCCGCGTGTTCCCTTCCTTCATCCATCTTACCAAGCTGAGACAATGAGAAGGAATGGCCGGCAATGGCCATTTTATGACCGTCCAATCTATAATTGTACATATTTCGCACACACACACACATGTGGGTTTGTCTTAGAATGGGGGAGTCCCAAAAGCACTGCTCTTCACTGCCTTTTTAAAGGGATTACTCTCAACGTCTCGTTTAGGTTTGTCTCAATCCACTGCAACTCCCACTCGTCGACCCAGCTT